CACCTGAAGGGGCAGGACCCTGAGGTGGGAGGGGGTCTACCGCGGGGGGACCTGGCACAAGGAAGTGCGGTGGCGGGGGGAGGGAAGGAGTGCGGTAGGGGAAGAGGCGGTAGTAGGGTACTGACTCGTCGAACGTGACGTCCTGGGAGGACAGAACACGACGAGAGGTGGGGTGGTAGAACTGCCACCCAGGGGCGTCAGGGGGGAAGCCAAGGAAGACACAGGGAGCCACACGAGGGGACAGCTTGTCCGCAGACAAGTCGCGGACAAACGCCCGAGATCCCCTGACACGGAACGCAGACGCATCGCCGACCTTCCCCGTCCACAGCAAGGCTGGGGAGGTCTCCGGTCTGGAGACCCTGGGGTGAAGGTTGATCGTATGCGCCGCGTACCGAACCGCAAACGGCCACAGAAAATGGGGGGCAGCCGCATGCATCATGGACGTACGAGCGACGTCCATGACCATGCCAATGAGGCGCCCAGCAATCCCATTTTGTTGTGGAGAGTCCGGAAGCGTAAAGGTCTGGCGGATGCCTCGCGCACGACAGTAGGCTTGCAGAAGGCCAGAGGAGAACTCTCCGCCTCGGTCAGAGTGCAGACGCAGAACAGGAAAGTCCGAGCCGAAGCTCCTCCTGAGCTGGAGACGAGCTGCGCGGATCCAGTCGATGAACACCTCAGCGACATCACCCTTGCTGCGCAAGGGGAAGACTGTGGTGTAACGCGAGTAGTCGTCAACCACCAGCAGGAAGTAGCGCTCGTGACCCTGTCCACGGACGCGGGCCGGGCCCCACACGTCCATGTGAAGCGTCTGCAATAGGGCCTCTGTCGGGGGAAACTGAGAGGAGTGAGGGGCAGCTCGGAGCCGCCCCTCGACACAGGGGACACAGGAAGGACCAGGCCCCAGAGGAAGGGGAGGGAGGGACCGGGGAAGACCAGAGACAAGGACACGAGAAGCCATGCCTCGGAGACGAGGGAGGGAGGGGTAACCAAGATGGTGGTGCCAGAGGAGAGTCTCGTGAGACAGGAGGCGACACGAGCAGGGGGCTGACTCAGGACCAGACCTGGACGCTGCAGCAAAAACCTGACCCGACGCAGCTACCTGACCAGACGCAGTGACTGGAGGAGACTCAGTGGTCAGTGTGTACAGGCTCGACCCCGGCCGACGTGTAAACGTGGCCAGGTGTCGGCCTGTCCGAGCGTCCGTGCAGTGGGTCACCCGCTGACTCGCAGGAGTGAACTGGTGAACCCCCGTATCGTGCAGATCAGCACCACTCACCAAGTTCGTAGAGAACGAGGGGCGGTAAAGACCAGACAAGGTGCCAGAGGGGGCAGCCGGACACGAGAGGACAGTGGAGAAGTGAGAGAGGACAGGACCCCCAGAGGGGTCTGCCAGGGAGACTGCAACTGGCCGACCAAGCGGCGTGAGTGTGGTGCGGTCTCGAAAGAAGGAGCGAGAAGCCCCTCAGTCAAGTGTGAAGGTGAGGGAGGCCGAAGCCGACGTGGTGCCTGAGAGCGTAGACTCATCAGCACCTGAGGGCGCGGACGTACTGGCACCTAGAGCAGCAGCCTCACCAGTACCTATAGTAGCAGTACCAATGCTTGGGTCGGGCGGGAACACCGGTAACAGTCACCTTCATCACTAATAGTCACAGCATACATGGCAGCAAGGGTAGCATCAAAGTCAAGATCAAAGATAGCTACGCCTGCCCTAGACAGCTCTCCCCAGCGGGGGATCTCACTAGCCTCCGGGAACTGCTGACGCCAAGCGTCCGTCAGGCGGCCAAAGCAGCGCTGGGTGGGGTGAGCACCCCCACACTGCTCACCCGTGCGGTCGCCGGAGCGGAGGACGTAGGTGCACGGGCCAAAACCCCCACCACGCTGACGCTGCGTGTACCACTCACGGAGCTTCTGAGGAGGGGGGATGTCCCGAGAACGCTGCTGCTGCTGCTGCTGGCGCTGACCACTCCCGGAGCCGCTCCGCTGAGAAGTACCACCCCGACCAGCTCCACCTCCTCCACCACCGCCGCCTCCACCTCCGCCGGCACCGCCGCCTCCGCTCCCACCGCTACCGCCACCGCCGCCTCCGCCTCCGCTGCTGCCACCGCCACCTCCACCCCCGCCACCACTCCCACCGCCACCCCCACTCCCCCCGCCGCCCCCACCGCCACCTCCACCACCCCCGCTAGCCCCACCCGCGCCCTTGCCCCCCTTGCCCTTGCTAGAGCGGCGTCTCCCGCTAGGGGCAGACACCGCACCGACCGACTCAAGACCAACGAGGTCGGTCGCAGCAGTAGAGGCGACAGAGGGCAACAGGGGGGAAGGGGAACACCCCTCAAAGATGGGGGTGCGAGGGTCACCACGAGAGGCTCCTACAGCGACTATGCTCTTCTCCGCTGCTAGGAGGGCCTTCTCTAGAAGGTCAACAGTGAGAGTGGTGGGACAGACTGAGAGGAAGTGGTCCCTGACTACGCGAAGGGAGTCAGGGAGGCGAGTGACTATATAATAGAGAGTGATGTACATGGGGGGGGGATTCTTGGCGCAGAACTCAGCAGGAAGTGCGGCGCGGTAGCGAGTGTCACTAGTGCGGAGGTGCGTAACAAGGTCAGCGACTGTGGGAAAGGCAGCAAGGTCAGGAAAGAGGTACGGTAGCATGAGGCGGCTCAGTGCAGCAGTGGCAGGGGAAGAGTAGCGCGCAACTACAGCGTCGTATAAGGTGTGAGCACTCTTGTACTGACTAAAGTGCGCGCGCTCAGAGGTAGGCAGGTGGCGACGCACAGCAAGACGTGCAGCAGCATCGCGCGTGGCCCACTGGGAGCGAACAGTGGGGTCAGCATCAGCAGCAGGGGCAGGAGAGGCGCCAGAGGTGAGGTCAAAGAGGGAGAGACCGTCTGCCTTATCGCACTGTAAGAAGAGCTGCAGGTCATCTACCCAAACCTCAAAGTCAATGGCTCGACCCTCAGCGTCAAAAGCGAGAACACTAGGGGAAGCCAAGACAGTAGTAGACTAGCGAGACCAACTGTAGGACAGGGGCAGTGCAGTGACAGAAGCGCTGGTCTCACCAGACAGGGCAAGTCGGGCAGCTCAGTAGTGCAGTAACACGGCAACACGGCTACTCGGACGACTCAGTAGCGACTGCGGCTCCGCGGCACCGGCGACGCGGTTGATCAGGCGGCTCGGGCGGCTCGGGCGGCTCGGGTGGCTCCGGCGGCTCGGGCGGCTCGGGCGACTCGGGCGGCTCGGGCGACTCGGGCGGCTCGGGTGTCTTGGGCGGCTCGGGCGGCTCGGGCGGTTTGGGCTGTTGTGGCAGCTCGGGCGGCGCGGGCGGTGTAGGGCGGCAGGGCCGCTGGTGAACGGTGGCGGGGCCGCTGAGTAGGGCGGCGGGGCCGCAGGAGTAGGGCGGCGGGGCCGTATGAGTAGGGCGGCGGGGCCGCATGAGTAGGGCGGCGGGGCCGTAGGAGTAGGGTGGCGGGGCCGCAGGAGTAGGGCGGCGGGGCCGCAGGAGTAGGGCGGCGGGGCCGGTGCAGAAGGGTGGCGAGGCCGCTGAGCAGGGCGGCGGGGCCGCGAGGTAGGGCGGCGGGGCCGAGAGGTAGGGCGGCGGGGCCGCGAGGTAGGGCAGCGGGGCCGCGAGGTAGGGCGGCGGGGCCGCGAGGTAGGGCGACGGGGCCGCGAGGTAGGGCGGCGGGGCCGCGAGGTAGGGCGGCGGGGCCGCGAGGTAGGGCGGCGGGGCCGAGAGGTAGGGCGGCGGGGCCGCGAGGTAGGGCGGCGGGGCCGCGAGGTAGGGCGACAGGGCCGCGAGGTAGGGCGGCGGGGCCGCGAGGTAGGGCGGCGGGGCCGCGAGGTAGGGCGGCGGGGCCACGAGGTAGGGCGGCGGGGCCGCGAGGTAGTGCGGCGGGGCCGCGAGGTAGGGCGGCGGGACCGCGAGGTAGGGCGGCGGGGCCGCGACGACGGGCGGCGGGGCCGAGGCGACGTGCGGCGGGGCCGCTAGGGGAAAGGGCCGCTAGGGCGGCTCGACGAAGTGCGACTCGGGCGGAGTGCGCTTCGGGCAGAAAAAAAAGATGTCGATGTGGTGGGCCCTAGGCACAGTTCCCACGGGGGAACCTGCTCGATACCATGAGAAAATGTGAACGAGAATGGATGAACTATGAAACAGTTGGGTACAAGTACTAACCCTAATTGGGTTGTACCCCATATGGGCTACCCCACTACAGCCTACACAAAAGCATAAGCTATAATGTTCTGACAGTACAAACAAGTTTAAATGACTTCTTTGCTGACGATGTTTTGCCCTACGACCCCCCTCCTCCCCTCCCCACCCCACTTCCCCCCTTGCTGTAGGTGCAGATGAGTCATTAGCATACTCCTTCCCGCTGCTAAGTAATAGGTTGGACATCCGCCTTTGTTCCATTAGAGCTCACGTACATTTTTGTAGGAAGCCCGGATTTCAAGTATTGAATTTTACTTGCGCCCGTGATCGTTAAGGGCTAAAAAACGGTCACCTTCGTGAAAATCAGGGCCAAACTTCGAGCAGCTCAGGACTCGAAGTGTTGGTCCCAGGGACTTCGACAAGCCTGGTTGGGACACATTGCATGAGTGTTTTTTTTTTTTTTACAACCATGGCGAAAACACTTCTCATTGTTGTATGCATGTAAACTTCTACCTCTTAGGGTACATTCCGCTGTGGACACAGTCTCAAAGAAAGTGTCCCAAACGTATTTGTTACTAATTGTGACACAACAAAATCAATATTCGTGACTAATTGTGATACGCCGAAAAGGATGAACAAAAATTTGCAACCACTCATGTTACGACATCTGGCAAAGTCGTCACTGTATATGGTTCAAAGTTTCACAATTGGTGACGAATATGTATCACGATTAGCCACGAACATTGTTTTCGGCGTATCACAATTAGTCACGAACATTCTGTTCGGATTGTCACAATTAGTCAAAAATACAATTGGGACACTTTCTTTGAGACAGTGTCCACAGCGGAATGTACCCTTATTCCCCACTCCACTCCCTCTCCCACCCACCTGGCCCCTCCCCTGCTCTTCCGTGCACAGGTATGGTGGATCGCGCACAGGGATAGTGGTCGGTGGAGTAAGACGTGGACAAGCACAAGGTGAAGGCAGGATGGGGCCGTGGCAAAAAATGGAGATGGGTAGAGCCAGCAGGATGCCGCGGCGCGTAGATGCGGTAGGAGGCACGCAGTCTAGCAGGAGTGCTGGCCTCATCTGGCTGTAGGGAGCAACTTGTTGGTTGTGCTTTGTTGTGCGCTGAAGGTGTCTAGGAATGTGGGAGATGTCGCCCTAGATACCTGTAGCCGATAGGTGGAGGCAGGGAAGGGGATATGGGGAAGCAGGGAAGGGGATGGGTGGAAGCAGGGAAGGGGATGGGGAGAAGCAGGGAAGGGGATGGGTGGAAGTAGGGAAGGGGATGGGGGGAAGCAGGGAAGGGGATGGGAGGAAGCAGATAAGGGGATGTGGGGAAGCAGAGAAGGGTGACAAGTGCGCGCGATAGGAAGGGAGACGAGAGGGATGGCGAGGGCGACGGGGAGAGAGGAAGACGGGGATTGCAAGGGGACGAGCGAGAGGAAGGGCGACGAGACGAAGGGAAGGCTACGGGCGGAAGGGAGAGCGATGGGCGGAAGGGGGGGCGACACGCAGAAGGGAGAGCGACGGGCGGAAGGGAGAGCGACGAGCGGAAGGGTGGGCGACGCGCGACGGGCGGAAGGGAGGGCGACGGGCGGAAGGGAGGGCGACGGGCGGAAGGGAGGGTGACGGGAGCGACGATCGGATTGGAGGGCGACGCGTGGAAATGTAGAGCGACGAGCGGATGGGAGGGCGATAGGCGAAAGGTAGAGCGACGAGCATGGCGACGCGCGGAAAAGAGGGCGATGAGCGGAAGGGAGGGCGGCGAATGGAAGGGAGCGACGGTTGGAAGCGTGGGCGACGAACAGAACGGAGCGCGATCGTGGACGACGCGACGAAACGAGTAGCGGGAGCCAAAGAACCGAAAGCGTCGCGGGCAAGCGAGGGTGAATGGGGGAACCTAAGCGACCAGCAACCTAGCTCTGGCCCTGTGGAATATAGTTGGAGCATCGTGTTTGTGAGTTGTGTGAAAAAACGGAGTGATTTTTTGGCGTGAATGACGGGTGAACTATGTCTAGTATGCTTCACAATTAGTACAAGATGGTTTTCAAGTTCGCTTCAAGTGAATGACCCTCTGCTCGATAAGACTTTGAGTGTCGCTCGCCAATCACATATCATCGTGAGAGAATGCTCCACTTCGGGTGGTAACATGGTTTTTGGCGAGTTCATATTCAGGAATCTTGAACTTGAAAATAGCCATGTGGAACTCGGGCTTTAAATTCGTTATTTCACTGGAGTACACACGGCTGCCCGAATTTCGGAGGGGAAGGGCGGGAAAATCGGGTGGGGGGGCCCGGGGGCACACGCGGTCCATCCAATTATGAAAAATGCCCACGTGGCGAAGTCGGAGCAATTTAGATCGATTCAATTGAGAGAAACGCGATTTCCGCCGATGCGCGCGATTTCGCCATTTTTAGGGCGCAGGAACTCTAAACCATACCACCCAGGGCGATCAATCTGCATCCTCCGCAGCAAAATCGTGTCATCCGCAGCGGGTGCGAGTCACCGTTTCCCCAGTCCTTATGGAATCCGCCTCGCGCAACTACTTCGCCGCGCTCTCGTCGCCCCACGCGGATGACGGCGACTGCACCCCGCCGCTCTCGCCGCCTCGGGAACCTGCTGCGAGCAGTCGCGATGTCGACGCGCCAGTCAGCGCCGGGTCGCCTCCCGCCGGGCCTAGCAGCGTCGAGCCGGCCGTTCTCGCCGGCGGCCCGTCAGCCCAGGCGACGGGGCATGGCGGCGGGGAACGCAGCAAGGACGGCGGGGACGTGCTTCAAGACGACGACAGCGATTGGCGGGTGGTGGGCGACACGAGTGGCGCAAGGAGCGCAGGGGGTGGTGCGGCGACACCACCGGAGGTGGCAGCCGTGGCAGCGAGCGAGGCGCGGGCGGCGCAGGCGGTGGAGGTGAAGCTGCGGCGGCCGCTGATATGGGTGGACCTGGAGATGACCGGTGAGCGCATGGCGGCCAGCAACGGGTGGGGCATGGCGAGAGGCGTGGCAAGGGGAGTGCAGCAGCGCGCGTTGGGATGGGAGGGCAGATTCACACGATAGCATGATGCGATGGGCTTCTTGCCCGCCCTCGCCCCTCGCCCCTCGCCCCTCGTCTCTCTGCGTCACGCGCCTCTGTCCTTCCGTCCCCACCTTCTCCCGCACCCCTTGTGCCGTGCCGTGCCGTGCCCTGCCACCAGGCCTGGACGTGCAGCGCGATCACATACTGGAGATCGCGTGCGTGGTCACGGACGGGGACCTCAAGCAGCGCTTCCAGGTCAGTCACCACCGCACGCACGTGGGCTCTGTCCTTTCGCCCCTCCAATTCCCTCGCTACCGCTCATTGCTCCTCTACATCCCCCTGTTTCTCCCTCCTTCCTCTCCGCTCCCTTGCCGTGCGCCTGTCTATCCGCACGTCCTCGCATGTGTGGCATGGCATGGCATGGCAGGGGCCGGACCTGGCAGTGCACCAGAGCGAGCAGGTGCTGGCAGGCATGAACGAGTGGTGCCAGCAGCACCACCACGCCAGTGGTGAGCACGGAGAGGGGAGGTGAGAGGGGGGAGAAGAGGAGGGGTGTACTATGTGCGTGGATTAGATTGGATTGGGTTGGATTGGATTGGGCGTGGTTATGAGCTTGAACTGGGTGGGCTGCGTCACACTGGGTGGGCTTGGATGGTGTGCCGTATTGCCACGTGGGTGGGAGGAGCTGGCAGTTGGGCTTTCGTGCACCGCACCATCCAGGCTCTTCAGCATGGCTCCTCCCGCATGAACCACTGGGCCTTCTGCTCCCTGCCTGAATACCTGCACGTGCCCACCACATATGCTGCCATGTCTCTGTGGTTTGTCCATGCGTGAGGGACGGGTGAAAGTCGGGACCTTGTGCGCCTCCTGTGAAAGTCATCACAAGTTTTATCTCTTGCACCTCGCCCGTCAGTGGGACCAACCATCCTTGCACGAGTCCAACATCCACACACACTTAGCATGTCAAGTTGTCTTGCGTCTGCAGCGGTCGACTCTCGGCCTCCAGTTGCTAGTGAGAATGCTGCCGTCAAGACATGCACGCAGCACACATGAGAACGTGCTTACAGTCATAGTTGCAGTGGTGATCTGGGTGGCTTTGCTGCTTGCAAGTCGCACATCGGTACTGTAATTTGCACTGGTGTGAGTGCTCAGTGCCGCTCACCCCCGGTGTGTGAGTGGCAGGGCTGGTGGAGCGAGTGCGCAGCAGCACAGTCACCTTGGCAGACGCGGAGCAGAAGGTGAGCCCTGTGCCGCCCGCCATGCACCCTTGCACTGCTACGTGCTGTTTCTACCGTGGAACGCAGCACCACCATGAGCAGAGCTGGGGTAGTATGTAACACTCCTCCTGTGCTAACTTCTGCAGCCATTCGGTCTGCTTCTTGTTGACTCTCGCTTCTCCCTTTCGTCTACCCTCATGGCCCCACCACTTCCTGTGCGCTGTCCCCAGGTGCTGGCGTTTGTGAGGCGCTACTCTAAGGAAGGGCTTGCCTCGCTGGCAGGCAACTCCATCTACGTGGACCTCATGTTCCTGCAGGTGACAGGCATGCAGGTGACATGCATGCAGGTGACATGCATGCAGATGATGAGTGATAGTTCGTAGCATGCTTGTGCTGCATCCCAGCATGTGAGGTGTTCAACCTGGTTCGCTGCCACTGTGCTTGTGCTGACCTCATTCTCCACGCACTGACCCTGCTCTCTTCTCACCAGCACCACCCGTGTGTGCCCCACCACCCCTGTGCGTGGTGCACCACGCACAGAAGCACATGCCTCGCCTGGCAGCACATTTCTCACACGTGCTCGTGGACGTCAGCTCCATCAGAGCCCTCGCACAGCGCTGGTACCCCAGAGGTACTCCTCTCCCTCTGCTCCAACCACTGCTGCCCTCCTCTTTACACACTTGCACACTTGAAGCTGAGGGCCCTGCAGCGCACGCCACTGGTGCCATGCTTCCAGCCCAGCATGTGTTTCCGCACTGCCCCCCTTGTGTTGCTAACTTGCATGTGTGGGCATGGCAGCGGTGGAGAGTGCACCGCGCAAGGAGCAGCGGCACCGAGCACTGGAGGACATCAATGAGACCATCAACGAGCTCAAGCACTTTAGAGCCACCATCTTTAAACAGCCCCCCCGCACCTCCAAGCATGCTTGACAGCGCCTGCTTGCCTGTGCCACAGTAACCAATAATGCAGATTTGTCATTTTCCCAAGTTCAAATACGTGGCAAATATGTTTCCATGTACCATGGTCTCCTAACTGAGAGAACACGCTAAAACATGGAACTTGTACCGTATGTACTGATTCCTAAGGCTCGAGCCAACAGCTGGGGCCTTGTGTCTCTTACCGTCGTAAACGCCCGGATATAAGATAGTGGCGAATTGAAGACGGGGTGTCTTTGATTGAGGTTTTTCTTGTAATTGGGTGTCTCCGATTATAAGCTACCTTTGTATGTGTACGACAAGTTCAAACATATTTGTCTTATAATCGAAACTGTAATGTACTACACTGAACATTGAAATAGAGCACACAGTTTTACCCTTATGAAACGCAGACTCGGTGGGTAAGATGCTGTGAGTAGGGAGGGAAGTTGCCAGCATAGACAGCTTTGCTGCGTCCCTCCCCGTGGCACGTGGTGGCGACGTATGCATTACCTCCCCGTGACACCTTCACGTTTCGGGTCTGGGGCTTGTTTGCCCATGTTCGCGCCACTGCAGACAAGCTCTCTTCTCACACCGTTCGCTGCGTCTTCTTTGGCTTTCCGACTGACGCACCTGGGTGGCAATTTTACCATCCAGTGCCCTATCTGTCAGAATCCCCAACCACTAGACCATTGGGATAAAAGGGGTTTTTTTAGTAGCGGGTCAGTGCGCCCATAACCCCCCAGGCTAACATGTCTGTAACCCTCCAAGGATCAATCGAGCATCCATAGTGCAGATCTACTGACACTGTCCTCCCAGGTTGTCACGATTTAGAAAGCTTGCTTTCTTGCATGTAGCAATTGGCATCGCCTCATTTCAAAGGGCATCGTCTCGTTTCAAATAGGTTTAGTACAATTGAAATCTATAGTGACATTACAATAATGTAAAAATTTGAAAGTGTGTAACACTTCTAAAAAATCGTGTATTGTGAAAGTGTAGCGATTGCCAACACAACAAAGGCAGCGTCGCATCGCTACTCAACCTCTTTTGGCCACAAAAGAGGGGGTTGAGGCCATTTGGCCTCACCCACGTTCTTCTTTTCAATTTCGAAGTTTGAGTTTCCAATCTCGACTAGTTTGGCGAAGACGCAGTCCCTCCCTCGCTTCACTGCCCCGACGACTCTACTTGCGGATATTTTTAAGCATTACATCGGAGCCATGGAGCCGGCAAACAACACTGCTAATCGCGAGGGCAACATGGCGTCAGACACTCCCGTCGCCCCGAATGCCAACATTCTGCCCGGGACAACCGCCCGTCGCCGAGGAGTCACGCGAGGACCTCGCCATTGGCGTTTAGGTCCTGCTGGGCGGAGGCTCCCCGGCGCCTTCCAAGGAGCCTTCCGCCCCTCGCGCGGCTTCCAGGCAGCCGCGCGAAGTGGCGAAAAAGACAACCGCTGATGCTGCTGTCTTGACCACCACCTCGAGCCCCTCAGGCACGCGTCTCAAGAAGCACGCGCCAGCACCCTCGAGCCACACGCCAGCCACGACCGACCCCAACCCTTTGTTTAACCCGGCGCAGC